TACTCGCCCCGCCGCTCGCCCGCCAGCCCCCACAGCCGCGCCAGCGGCACGTCCGGGTGCACGTCCACGAAGGACACGCGCAGGCTCACGACCGAGCCCGGGCTGGGGATGCCCAGTAGCGACCACATGCTGGCACCCCGCGGCGCCCGCCTTCCAGCCCCCTGGGGCCGCGGCCAACGGCGGGCACAGTTTATATAGGGCCACGTGACCCGCGGGTGCCCGGCCGCCCGCCAGGCGCGCGCTCATAAGCTGCCTCGCCCCCACGTGACCCGCGGAGCCACGTGAGTTGAGGGCGAGGCGGTTAAACGGCTTCGAAGGGGAAATGTTAGGCGTGGGCGAATCCATTGGGGGGTGGCTCCGTGTGCTGTTAGCGGGCAGTAGTATGACCCGTGTGGGCTGACCCCAGCTGGGGGCTCAGTGAGTCCCGGGGGAGCGCAGGATCCAGCAGTGCTAATGTCTATGCAGGCTCATGGTCTTCTCATGGCTACGGTGGCCATCATAGAGGGTAGGCCAGCTGTCCTCTCTCCATACGAAACCTGACACGTTTACATCCTCTATTTTTTTGCTCGAAGAACAGAAAATTTTTCTCTTCAAGAGAAAAATAGAGGGCGGAAAGGCGTTGGGTTGTGTATCAAGAGACGACAGAGTAGTAGAAACCTGGACTGTCCTTGATGATGGCCGCCTTCCTTACGTCCATGCCGGCCGTGACTGTCTGAGCAGCAGGGGAAGCTTGTCTAGCACCCAGCCGTAGCGCCCCCCGCCCTCACGCCATGCCTCCCAGTCCAATGACAGCAGCTGGCTGTTACGCCAGCCACCGCGGCGCACCCCGTGACAGGAGACGCTGGCCACAACCTGGTCTGCCCCAGAGCTGTCCTTTACTGGCCCCACTTTCCAGGCTGTTGTGGAAGCCTTGCAGCATTCCTACCTAGGGTGCAGACAGGAGTGACTATTTTCACCCGACGGGCTATAGATCGGGCGAAAATTGTCATGTGTTGAATTGACGGATGGCCACAGAAAGCAATCTGTAGCCGTGACCAGAAGTAGTACAGACTGCTTCAAAAACAGCCGCTTGGGCAAATGTGTGAACCCTCGCTGCATGGGGGCCAGATGAAGACGTTCTGAAGCAGAGTGCTTTCTGTAACTTCTGTCTGTGCTGCAGGAGCCATGGGCAGCTGTCCCCACCGTGCAGGGGAGCAGGACACGGCTCAGATGCGTGGCCAGAAGGTCTGAACCTGCAACTTTCAACTGGGGTGCCGCAGAGTCCTGCCGTGCCTTGCAATCCTGCCCAGGGTGCTGCATAAGGTTAGTGCTGCTAGGTGGGCAAGCATGATAAACCCAGGGACAAACCCATGATAAACCCAGGGATAAACCAAGCAAGATAAACCCAGGGATTTGACATCAGAATCCAGAGTGTTAAAACCATTTGGCCATGTAGTAATCCTGAGGAATTGCTCTATTTTCTGTAGTCAAAAGACAAGTGAAAGCTAAGAGCTGTTTTTTTCCAAGGGGCGCCCTGGGTCTAACAAGGGGTGCCTGGAGTCTAGAAAAGGTTGATGGTGGTCTAAACAAACCCCCAAAAAGTGTAATGCAATTATTCCAAAAAGTGTTAGCTGCAATTTTGGTAGGAAGGACAAGCAATAAATATGAACTTAGGCCAAAGTGATCAAAATAAACAACCAGTTTTCACCAGTGCTAAGAGCACCAAGTAAGTCAATAGGAGTTACAGTTGCTTAGCATTACTGAGCATTAGTTAACCTCTTCAAGGTTTCCAAATCTGCATATAGGTCCCCCTCTATAATTGAAAGCACTGGCCTTAATGTTTATGACAAGTCCTCAAAATTAAATGCATCAGATGTGTAAGAGACAATTTTTTGTAATTATAAAAATGCTTAGTTCTTGCAGTGGTATTAAACGCTGGGCTCCTTCATTAAATATTTTATGCTCAGGCTGGAATTTTACAACAGGAGATAAACAGATTTTTTAAAAATCAAAATGCAGTTCTATAGTTAGAATGACTATAACAGTGACACCATCTTAGTGAGTGGATCAGGCACTTGTTTATACAAATAGCTAGGTCTACCAGGCTGTCAGAATTGCACTGAAGGTGTAACTGAGGGCAAATTTTTGTCTAACTATACTTTATTACTAGCAATGATGTACAAAAAGGAGAAACATGGGCTGAGTTTGCAGAGGTGGAGAAAACACTTAAGAAAACATTTGACCTGCTAAATTAGTGACAGGTGAACATGGGAACCTACAATGCCATTGTTACAGAGCAATTTGTAGCAGACTTGCACTTTGTGTTCCAGCACACAGCCCAATCATCTTGCAGCCACAACCCATGTCTACCTTGTAGTCTCGTGGTGTGACACCTGAGCTGCGTCTGCTTCCCTGGACTAGCCAAACTGTGGAGCAAAGACAGTAGCACAGTCTGTAAAAGCCCATCAGGGACCCCCAATATTTAATCAGGTGGTTGAATCCCATGCAGCTATGTCTTTATAGCTTTGTAACCCAAGCTAGCTCTGTTTAAGTAGTAGCTCAGGTATACTGACCCCAGCTATACCTTCACCTGTTCACTGCAGCATAGACCTGCATCAGGTGGCTGTATCACCCTTTCCTATGCAATCCAAGCAGCTTTTGAATTATTGCATGCTCTTATTGCATGATGATCTGAAATTTCCATGTATTCTGAGTAAGATACTAAAAAAGCTGAAAGTTTGGTGAAAAAATCCAACCCGAATTCTGCCTCTGTGTTCTTCAGGCAGGCACAGTACCTTTCCAAACAAAGCTCTGATGGTACAAATTAATTTTGACTTGGGTCACAACTGGGATTCTTAAGAAAGCGTGCTAATAAGGGTGAAATTCATCAAAAGGCAGCAAGTGTTATATGTCTGCTGTTCATGCCCCTCTGCCTAAAAGTGAGTTTCTAATATAGTAGTCACACAGAGAAAGTAAACATGTATTGGGAACATACCTGAGTTTATAAAATGAAAAAAAATATGGCTCTATAGCTCAGTGGTTAGAGTACTGGTCTTGTAAATCAGGGGGTGTGAGTTCAAGCCTCACTGGAGCCTTGACCTTACCTTTTGGGGCTGGACTTGATCTTTAATAAGCAAGACTAACTACATGCTTTCTTGTATTTGTAGGTGCTTCAAAAGCATGTCAGGGGAGGTTATATTCCCCCTTTATGCAGCACTGGTGAGGCTGCAGCTAGAGTACTGCATCTAGTTGTCTTCAAGAGAAGACTGGACAGATATTTAGCTGGGGTGATATGATCCTGGCACCCATTCCTGCCCAGGGTAGGGGGTTGGACCTGATAATACGCTTAGGTCCCTTCCAACCCCAAGTACTACGATCAAAGTACAGTAAAATCTCCGGTAACCGGCACCTTACAAGCTGGCATTCTTGGTTTCTCTGAGACCCCATGGCCCGGGGCAAAGCAGCCTGCACTGCCGAGCCCCCATGGCCTGGGGGCATAACAGGCTGCGCAGGGCCCACCTTCCTGTCCCATGGGGCCCACAGGGAGGGGCAGCGACACCCCGGACACAGAGGGAGAAGCAGTGGCCCAAACAGCCGAGGATGCCTGCTTGGGCCACTCAATTAATATTTTGTTATCCAGCATCCTCCATTCCCAGGGGATGCCAGATAACAGAGCTTTTACTGTATTCTACTTGTTATATAAAACGTACCCTGAAGTCAGGGCTACAGCAGTGATAGTCTAATTGCATTCACCTGTGATAGTTCTTAGTAACCAATGCTTGGTTGCTAAGTTATCAACATTTATGAAGGGATAAGTAGTTAGTACATTTTCTTTTTGTGTGTGCATGGGTATAATACTAATGACAGGCTCCAAATGAATGACTGGAGTCCTTTATTTATCCAAAGAATACACACTGTGCAGCAGTACATCTCCCAGCATGGCTGATGTTTACTACCAAGTGAAGCAGCATTTTTTCCCGTAATGGACACTTGCTCTACGGACCCACCAGTTTAGTTCACATACAGTCATCTGCCAAGCAGCAATCAGCACGTAGCATTAAATGACTACTAAAGGGGACTGATCTTGAGGTGTGATACTACTACCAGTTAATTTCTCTCTGGTGAAGTACTGTTAATTGGGGAGCTACTGGATTTGTAATTCTTCATCTGTTTTATGACTCAGGGCATGATTTCAAAAGATTTTAAAACGAACTAACTCCACAGATCCTTCTGATTTGTTCATAAGTGAGCCAGAACACCAATGACCACGGAGCCTGCAAAAGCAACCACAGACAGGATAAATGATAGAATAAAAGTTGTGTTTTTATGAAGAAGGATAAACAGTATTAAACTGTTTTTATCTAAGATAGATTATAAAGCCTTTTAGGGATGATGTCCGTATGTATTTTAAGTGGAGCCAGGAGCCTTGCCTGTAGTTAAGGTGACCTGATGCTTTTCATAAGACCCTCTTTTCAGTTTGACAACATTTAGGACCTTCCTTGTTTGGTGTTTGCTTCCAGCAGATTTTGTTTTTTGTGGGAAGGGAAGAGGAGGGGCGCGGGGAATAAGTCTTGAAAACAGCTGAACTATTTCTGCCTAAAATTTGGGGCAGATATCATTTTATCCATGTTAAAAAAATTCTTACAATTGTTCAGATGATAAGCTTTGAAGCAAAGGACAGCTATCTGGCAGTAACTGTGTCAGGGAGTGCCTTTTGATCTTTCTATCAGAAATGGCCCAAATTTGCCATTTGAAACAGGTCTACTAGCATATGCTAAGCCCCTGGATATTCCAACAGGACTGGACATGCTCTAACCCAGTGGTACTCTCACCTCTGGCCCACGAGGCCATGTCATCCTGCCTATGGAGCTCTCCTTGTGGTCAGAAATGTGGTGGTCGGGGAATGATAGCAGCATTAATTGCTGCTGGCCTGCAGCCATATTTCCAGACCCCATGGGCCAGATGATGTGAGCTGTGTGCTAGATCACGCAGGCACACAGCACCAGGCAGGAATGTGGCCAGATCCAGCATGCAGGACCAGGTCAGCACACCAAAATTTACCCTCAGACTGATCCCACATACTAACTCAGTGCTAGATCCAAGCTGCATACCAGCCCATTACTACTCATTTGCCTTGTGGAGCTAGAAGGCTGAATGCCGCTGCTCTAGCCTAGAGGCTAAGCAAGTCTCTTTACAACTGGCTGTTCCTACGAGGTGCTGCAAGTCACTGTGAGGCTGGGCACATGAACTGCCAGCAGGGAGACCCTTTCCTGTGCTCCCCTGACAGTAATTAAGCACCATGCAGGAAGAAGCTGTCTTATTTGAATGCAAAGGAGACAAGAACCTGACCTGAACCACAGAAGTAAAAAAAACAGATTCAGACAATAATGATGGTGGTAGAGAGTGCAAAACTGGGTGCCGAGGAAAGGAAGTAGAGAGAAACTGAAGAAAGCAAAGCAGTTATTTTGGAATGATAATGATAAGGTGTTTCCATGGATAGCTGTAGTCATTCAGCTATAGCTATATTAGTTACTTCCCCATGACACGTAATTTGAGATAAATGAAGGCAGTCAGGCACTTGCTGTACCAGCACAAAGTGCACCTCAGTCTTGACCTGCCACATCGCTCTCTTGAACAGAATATTGACAGTCACGTAGCCTGCAGGCACGTTTGGTGATGTGGATCTATCTAATGGGTTTATGTTGCCTGTCATCGAGGTATTTAATTAAAGAGATTATACTTTCACAATTAGTGGCATACCTTTTAAGCCCAGATGTAAAGGTAGAAGTGTGCTAATTCAATTCATCTAGAGAACATCAAGTTAGATTTAAGTCTTATGACATAGTATGCCATGTTAGTCTTTTGTAGGCCTCACTGGAGCATTGATCCATATATATACTATTCACCAAAGGCTTTACTAAAACATTGCTGCAAGTAGGCCTAGCCAGCAAACCTTAGTGATGTGTGAACTCCTCACATAAAGCCTGGCATGTGGGCCAGATGGGTATTCCTACCAAGAGATGGGATGGGATGGGATAGGAAGATGGTGGTACAAGGTACAGGATAGTCCAGTACCAGGATAAGGCTGGAATGGGAAACAAACCCCTGGTACAAGACTGTTTGAGATATTCAAGGTACAGATGGAATGCAATATGCAATTTGTTTTGATCATCATATAAAAGGAGAATTGGAAGTCAGGGGAACTATAGTGGCCTAGGGGAGGCTGCATGGTGTTGTGCCAACTCCCTTGTCACAGGTGCAAATACATTAACTCCTGGTCTGATATACTTGTTAAGCCAAAACATGTTAAGGCTGTGCTTGTAGACAATAAATCTGTCCAAATCTTTGCCACCAAGCTGAACCTCTGGTCATTCTTAAAGAGAAGATTGGTGTTAGAATCTCCTGGTTGCACTCCTATTGACACCATAGTTCTTGAGACTTCAACACGGATGACACATGAAAACCACCCAATGACCAGTCTCTCTCACCAAGTTAGTCTCTAAAGTGCCCCGCCCCCCTCTGCCTGACACAGTAGATGTAAGAAAGGACAACAAAACAGGCACTTCAGTGTCAGAACTGCTGGAAAAAGTTCCATGCTAGTCCAGGTTCTAGGATTTGATTCTGCAAGATGTTGAGAACCTCTAACAAAACTGCCAATGAACTAAAGCTCCTAATGAAAGTACTTGGTACCTGTCAGGATAAGGTCTTAGTGTATGGAAAGAACTTTCAGAGTTTGTCATACAGAGTTATACAACTATAAGCAGATAACTGCAAATAACATTTACCATTCGCATCCAGGTTGGTATGAAGCCTTTGTAAAGAGACATAAATCCTTCACCTTGTATTGTTCGAATCAAGCAGTCTGTAGAGGACTTATAGAGTAAGCCTCTAGCAAGGAGAAACAGAAATAAAGCAAAGGTTACAAATACAAAAAGCAGACAGCATTAAATGACTGTTAGCCCTCTCTACCCCTTGTAGCCCTCCTCCTCTCCTCCCTGCAACTACAAGCAATTTTTATAACTTCAATGAATGGTTAAATTTAAAAATAAGATCCCAGCCATATATATCTCTATATATCTATAGATAGATGTAGATATATATCTATAGATAGATATCTCCACCATAATCAATTACATTTAATCAGCAATGAATTCATTCCAGTAAATAAAAAGTCTGTTAGGATAGTTATGGACTATCCCTACCAAAAAGCTTTTATATGCACAAGAAGCCACCAAAGCAATCAGAAAAAATGTCAAGTAGAGAACTGATCCAAATCCCAATTAATAAGAACCTTTCACTTGATTTCATGGTGGGGGGAAATTTGGACCTCAAATTACCGCTGAGGTCAAGAAACATCCTCTCGGAAAGATCCGTACCTTCCCACTTCATCTCTTGGCTGGTTCATTATCCTGGTTTTGACTACATCGGCAGGAGTTCCCAGAATAGCAGCTACCAGGCCAGAACATCCACTATCAACAAAAATGGTATGGGAAGAATCCACATGTACACACATGCACAGCGCACATAGATATGCCACCTCCATTCAGCCACTGGGAACTCAGTTACAAGAATAAGATGTTTTAGGATTGTTGTCTTTAAACCACAAGTACAATTCCTCATAATTCTTAGATAATTTGAAAAATCCATGATCAATTTGTAGCTGAAAAATATACCCTGAAAAGTTATGAAATCTCCATCCTTGGAAGTTTTAAAGAGCAGGGTAGACAGACACTAGACTGAAATGATTTAGTCAGGGACTATTTTGCTTTCAGCTGGAGGCTGAATTAGATGACCTACTGAGGTCCCTTTCAGCTCTACTTTTCTATTATTCTGTGATGAATTAACATGGATTTCTCACTCAGGACAAAACCAGCAGAAATTGTCCCAGGCCTGTCTCTTCAAATCTCTCCTCAGCAGTAGTTGCCCTTGGTACAGTCCTTAAAATACAGCTGGAAATTCTGCAGGCTTTTGTAGTGTGGTCCACGCCTATAGGACTTCATGTAGAAATGCATGCTCTTGTACAAAAGGAAATAGAAATGCTGTAAAAAAATCATGCTTTAATGGTTCTATAGAATGAAAAATACATGCCAAAGGACAGTAATTCATAAGGACAGTATTTCTTAGTGTGTCAGAAGACAAATGAATAGAACAGAGTAGATGGGATACTGAAAGGCATCCAGTATAAATTAGCATAGTTACACTGACTAATGGAGTTATGCTGATTGATACCAGCAGGATTCTGGCCCATTGCTTACAACTCCCAGAAGCACAACCAATCCCAGAGTTCAGGGTAATTAATTCTGGATGTGTTTGAGTGGTGCAATCAAAGTAACCATGGCAGTGACTGGAAAGCACAAGAGATTATATATATATTATTAGAACAATGGTCTGTTTAGCTAGGGCCCAGTTTGACAGAATCAGGTACTATAGAAGAAGATATAAAAGAGTCATAATAGACCAAAAATAGGGGAGAGACAAAGTTTCTCTTTCATTCCTGGACTGGTTATTGACTTATATGCTGAAGCATAAGGGCTGATATCCCTCTCTTTTACTGACTGGCAAAAATAAAACTAGACAGGGACAAAACACTAGAAAAATCTAGGGAAGGAAAAAATCTGTGCAGAGATGAGGTCACAGATTACCAGGCCCTATGTTTTGCTGCTGTAAACTGGCATAACCTCATTGAAGTTATGGCACTTTTCACCAGCTGCAGATCGGGCTCCAAATTGTGTCAGAGCTGAGAAGCGGGGGGAAGGGACAGTTTAAGGGCTGATGTCTGCTCCTATTCCAGCTCCTTGAGGGCAGAACATTGTGTTTATATGATCAGAGAATTTGAGGTTTTTACTAGTCTGCTCTGTAATAATTTAAATAATGCCTTTCAGGCTCAGATCAAGGATGGGTGGAACTGATACTGAACCGAAATGGATACTGAACTAAGACTGGGTATTTAATAACTTAAGTGTCATCTAGCACTTTCATCTGTCAGTCTTGAAGTATAATTCTCTCTCTTTACAGCATGGGTAAATGAAACAAAGTAGAAAAGCATCTTATCCCAGAATTACATAGCAAGTCAGTGACAGACCTGGACCTATGTATAGAAGCCATTTCTCTGTACTCTCAGTCGTATTTACCAGAGCAAGGCTGCCTCCAAAGAAGCAGTAATTGGAAGACAAAGAGACAGCAATGTAATTGCCCTAAAAACACTCAATAATTAGCCTGAGGTTAATACTTTATGAATTCATTGCCAGCTTAATACAGCAGCAAAGTACTCCTAGTATGGATGCAGCAACAAAGCAGTAGTCCTTTGTACCTGCATAAAAAGCCCCCCCAAAATGAAACAAACTACTGTAAAAGTGCAGTTTGGTTGATGTAGCTCTATGTGCATCAGGGGCTTTGGCTGCCCCACATGGGTCACTCAGAGATTGCACCTCTTCACACTTGTGACTGAGACAGCCATGCCAACAAACACTGGTAGTATAGCCACAGGCTGAGAATTGTCTTGTTCAGTGTGTGAGGGGAGAATAAAAGCAGATACCTGGCTATGCTGTGAGTCACGCTGTTGTCATGAAGTGGTGTGTTCCGTAGTAGGAAGTGTTTCACTGAATCATAAGTGGTCAGATCTACAATGGATATCAGAGAAAACAAGCATGATGAAAAGTTGTATGGTATCAGGGTTCGTTATCAATTTAGGAGATAAAGACCTGGGACTAACTCCACTGACTAGATGAGTACCGCTGTTCTGGCAGGCACTCTGCTCCCCTTTCCAATTGCCATCAGCTTCATTTACAGCTTTCTCTCCATTTCTCCCCACCTGTATCATAAAGACAGGTGAGTGTGCATACACTCTACTGTGTAATCTTCTCTCCACTCCAAAACCACATCTCCCCCTTCCTGCTTAACCTTAATCCACATTACACTGATAAGATTACTATTTTTCCTTTCTGTAACTTTTCATTGATTTGTTATCCTCATTTTGGATAAAGTGATAGTTGGTGAGTATGCAGGAGTCTAAGTTGGCTTACCTGTTGGAGAGTTGGAAGGAGATACAAGGTAAAGCATCTAGAATTTAAATGAAAATCAGCAGTCTGATAGAAACTTAATGGGAGACTTCAGAATATATCCCAGGAGTCCTGAACTTAAATGTGATGCTCTGCTGTACTGAATCATGCTGACTTTTTTGACCTTTTATATTCATCTTCAAGCCAAATGTGTATGATGCTAGAAGTTATATACTGGCTGACAGATGTAAATACATCCAGTCTTGGAGGAGTAAAAGAAGACTGCCACACAAGGACCTCAGGATTGGGCTAATGCATTTACCTCCCATGTTTACAAGAGCAGCTCTTTGGACATTTGGCACCCATCCTGCCCATAGGCCCCGTATTCCTCCCTCAGACAGGATCTTCACAAATGCATGGTGCACACCACGAAATCTAGAACAGGAACAACACCATACAGCATTTTTCTGTAGCATCTCACAGGTCTTTAGAATAATTAATTTAACAAGCAAATAGAAAATCTGGTGAAGGGCAAACGTACGGTATGCGGTCCATGTTCTAGGGCAGGGTTGGCCATCCTGCCACAAGTGGCATTGGTAGTCTCTGCATGTAGCGCATGGCAGAGGCGGGAGGCAACAGGCAGCACAGCAGAAAGCAGTGGGCAGAAAGCAAAACAGCAAATTGGGCAGGGAGCATAGGAAAGGAAGCATAAAGCTGAACAGAAGCCCACCTGCCAAAAACGTTGCCCCCACTGTTCTAGCGGGGCTTCCTGTGCTTTCTCCAGCCCCTATCAGTTGTGTTGTTTGTTCACTTTTAAATTTTCATGGGAATCTGTGCACTAGAGAAAGAGTATTGAACAGACAAGCTATGGAGACTGAAATCCTCCAACTACACTGAAAAGAGATACAGCATCTATTGACTTGATTTGAACACATGACCTCCAGACAAATATATACATGTAATATTATCAGTCCAGGCTCCTTTTAGTGAGCTGAACTTGATAGAAAAGATGAGAAAGACCTCTGATAGTTAAGCATCATTTATTACATCCGCACATGTATCTGGAAAAAGGGCTTGTACAAGGTCTCAAACACCTCTCTCTTGAGTCATTTAAGGTCCACATGGAGTTTTGCTCCTCTCTGAGGAGAAAATACTCAAACAGTAACGTACGTGTAATTTAGGTTCAAGTGTACATGGACATGGTTTTAAAAGTCTGTCCCACACCATATGACAATTAGCAATGCCAAAAGAATTACCAGAGATGATAAACAAAATGCCAGTTTAAATGAGAACTCACCGTGATGGTTTCCCTTCTAGCCTTCTTCTTCCTTCCATCTGCATCTGGACCTTCACCAGATCAGTTGGACTGGCAAAAAACTGACCAAGGGCACCCGCTGTCATCCCTCCAACTACAGCTTTCCTATGCAATAGTAATGAAAGCCACCATTTCAGTTACCCTCCAGAATACACACACAATATGAACTCTGACATCACAATGCTTGTTTTCACAGGGGGAATTAATGTCTAACTAATGATTTCTGTGGCATCCTCCAGGTGAGATGAAAAATTTTAAATAACCACTAATAGTTTTGACAGCCAGAACTGAATTAACGACTGCAGCATCCACAGGTGGGTTGGTATGATCACTAACATTCAGGCCACTTTTCCTCAAAGTGTTAAAGGTGGCTTGAGAATAAAGCGTTTAATATGTATCCCCAAGTCATGCTGGTTGCATTTACTAACCATACAGACCTTCAGTGGAAGGCCAAGACAGCCAGAGGTTAATTTCTTTTCCTTTAATCCCAATCTCCTCTAACGGGTTCTTCTAGCTACATGGAAAGTAACTGGAAACAAATCCTTTTTAAAGCAACCAAAAATGTAGACAATACTGGGGTTTGGGAGCCATCTTTTTGGCAATCCTTCCTCACTCCATTCCAGGTGTTGTTACTTTCATTCTGACAATACCTGTATAACTGAGAGCAAGTAGGTATGCAGGTCATGATGCTGAGAGAAGCATTCAGCATGTTCAATGCTTCAATATGGATCAAGAAGATCCATCAGACTTGTGAGTGTCTGGATCTAGTTCCATTGTGAAATCCCCCAGCATGCCGCAGTTTGCCATGTCCACAGAGCTGCAGCATGTGGTACTTTTTAGCACAGAGAGTTCCCTTTCCAGTGTTTCTCTGAAGGGGAAAAAAGTTCACAGCAATAATTACACTTGCCAAAAGAAGCTGTTTTCTGAAGTAGAGAAGAATAAAAATCCTTTCAAAAATTACTTTCCATTGGCACATTGTTACTTGACTAGATTCACTTTCTGTTTTTCCTTTTTCAGGATTTTCTGTAGTGCTTATTCAAACCAATTTGGGGTATATCTGTATAAAGGCAAAGCTATGCTAAAACACACTACACCCATTCCCGTTTCCAACATAGCCACTAAGTAGCCACAATTGTTCTGGCTTGCAAACAAGTTCATAAAGAGCAGGCCCAGTGTCCCATACACAGCATTTAGGTTTCCATCACAAGAGGAGACTATTTCATTTTAAAAACACCACTTTTCACTTAAGTTTTAAACAAAGTGTGCTTTACCCACATATGAAGAACATTTTTTCCAACTTAAAATTTTGATCTAAGGTTGGAATAAATGTTTGACTGAAGAAAAAATATTTGTATAAAGAGCCTGAATAGTACACATTTATAATAGAGGGATTCATTGATGATTGCTGACTTTTGCTTACTGGCAGATATCAGTGAAATCCAATTTGTGCCTGGAGCCAATGCAGGGACTATGTGCCCATTAATGCCTTATAAATGGTACCTGAGTGTTGCATAACACATGGGTTATGGCCCCCTCCACATGGGTTGCTTTCACTTGTGGTCTTGACTGCAAAGATTTCAGTTAAACACATCTTTAGACCAATTTACTAAAGCTGCTAGAAGCTACCTGTATGCACACTTACTTCAATTTTACTTAAATCGGTTCCCAGACAGTGCATTGGAAGGGATCTCAAGTGTCATCTAATCCACCCTCTTGCACAAATATAACATTAATAATTCCAGACTGTCTCAGACAGATATCTATCCAACATCTTCTTGAAAACCTCCAATGACAGAGATTCCACTGCAGCTTTTATTCCATCGTCCCATTCTTCTTACTGTTAAAAAGTTTTTCCTGAGATTTAGATTAAATCTACTTTGTTGCATTGCCTCATGCCCCAGTCTGTGGCTAGAGAAAAGTGGTTCCTCCTCTTCTGTGTGGCAGCCTTTCAAATATATTTGAAAGCTGATGTCCCCTCTTAGTCTCCTTTCCTCTAGACAATCTATATGTATTTCTCTCAACTTCTCCTTGTATGGCTTGCAATCCAATTTACTGACTAGCTACACCAAAGAAAGGTGCTCTTAACTGGAATAATAAACTGGGTTAGTAACATCAGTTTAAATTCAACACCTCAGGTTAAACCAATGTGCAACTCTCTTCTGTAGGTGAACTATGAAAGGAAACCCTTTTCAGGGCTCAAAGACCTGGTATTAAAAAAAAAAAAGAACCCCAAGAATAAGTAGTAAAACAGAGTTACCAAAGAGGAAAGCTTTCATCTTCAGCTCTGCCAAGAACAGAGTCACGAATATGTTCATAAGCAACCATCCGTACTCCACTGTATACTATAGAAAAACATGTAGAAGAGAGAGGTTTAAGACATTCATTTTTTTGTTTATACATGGAAAAATACAGAGTTCTGCAACATGCAATCAGGCTCTGATCTTCACTGTATTACCATAGTAGCCAAGTGGCTTACACAGCCGAGAAAGGCAGGCAGAAGAGATTGAGCAGAGCCTTTAACCAAGATCTTTTTGATCTAAAGGAGCCTTTCACCAAGCTGTTTCTTGCAGCAAACACAAGATATGCCAACATTTATAAAACTGTGTACTTCACCAGCCATCTCATTGGCACTCTAAGATTGTTCAACTTCTAGGAGACTACCTATTAAAGAAACCTCTGCCTTCCCTCCAACAGGTTTCATCCCTTTGAGATTTGCTGCTGTAGAAGACACAAAGAAATTACCTTTGTTTTCCCCCAAGTGAATCTAATGAGGAGAGGCCAAATATCAAATATGCTGTCACTAATTTCACAGGTAGCTAGCATGCATTCAGCGAAGAATCTCTTTTCAGTCTCTGCCTTCATTAAAGGTGAAATTAACAATGTACAAAATCATATACAGAACTGTGTCAAACAAGATAAGAGGGCTTTTCCTGACCAAATGGTGAATTTTGGACAGCGGAGATTACGAATTTTCAAATTAAGTCAAATTTAACAGGACACCTTGAGACCAGATTACAATACACAGTACAATAAATCTTTTTCTTCTCTTCCCCATACCTCTCTCTATTTAAGCCAATAAGTACATTTCATTGTGGTTAATAAATGAACACGTATAACTGATCACTGAAAACATTGTGGAGTAGAACAGCCTTGATCACATACACAGAAATAGATATACGTGTAAATACAGACATTAGAGGTGCACCGATACATCAGTCCTATATTGGATCGGCAAATTGAGAGTATCATCAATTGGCTTTTATTGGCTCACGTGGCCAATAAATGCTGCGTGCATGTGCATAGCCACAGCATGCGCATGGCCTGGAGCGCAGCCCGGCAGCGTGGAGACCAGCATTGGGGAAGGGGTGTGGGGGGATCAAGGCAGATCAAGGCCCCCGTGGTGTGGGAGGGAGTGGGGCTGGAGCTGGGACAGGGGAGGGGCAGGGGCAGATGCTGCCCAGCTGGGGCGAGGTAGGGCAGGGCGGGGCATGGGATGGAGCTGTGAATGGCTCGTCCATGGGGCAGGAGGGAGGGGCTGCTCTTGTTGCTACACGTGCCCCAAGAGGGCATGAGGGGCTTGTGCCCCCAGAGCTGTATTCAGGGCGGGCTGCCACTGCGGGCTGGGGCCAGGGCTGCACTGAGCTCTTCTGAGTATGGGGCTGGCCCAGGCTGTGCTCGGGGCGGGCAGTGGCGGTGCTGGGAAGGGGGCTATGGCAAATTCTGGGATGACTGCAGCCCCCCAGTAGTCCTGCTCCCAGCACTGCGGCCGACTGCCTGAGCCCAGCCCAGCTCAACCCCCCTGCCAGGAAGCGCCCGGCACAGCCTTGGCCCCAGTATGCAGTGGTAGCCCACTCTCATCCTGTGCGCAGATCTGGGGGCACACATCCCCCATGCCCTCCCAAAGTGCGTGCAGTGGCAGGAGCTGCTCTCCTCCACCCCGCCCCCTGGACGAGCTGCTTGCAGCTCTGTCCCATGCCCCAGCCTGCCCCGGCTGCACCTGCCCCAGCCCCACTCCTGCCCTCACCGCGGAGGCTTCAATCTGCACCCCCCATGCCTTTTCCCTCCCCCCAGCCCTTCCCCCAAAACAGACTCACCAGCCCACTGCTGGTCTCCACACTGCCGGGCTGCATATTGACTATCAGATTGGTATCAGCTGATATGGCTCGTTAAAAATCGGCCATCGGTATTGGCCCAAAAAAATCTCTATCAGTGCATCCCTAACAGATACAGATATTAGCAAATCCTTGCAGTCAAGGATGATTGTCTTCCATGACTGCCTTATCTGTGGGTCCAAAGATGGCTGACGAGGCCGATCCAGGATTGACAGACTCTGTTGCAACTCAGGCACGTGTCTCTATGCAGGGTGGGTATCCCTGGATTCTGGATTCGATCCACAACATGCTGTTTCTGCTGCTCCTACTTTTCCATCTTCTGTTGTCATTATAAGGTTTCAAAGTACTGAGATCCTTGCAGCAGACTCTTTCTCCATTTCAGGTGGTCCACGGTGATAGTCTCCTACAAGCTGATGTTGATGATACATTTTTTCAAGTTGGCCCTGAGGACATCCTAAAGCTCTTCCTCTGCCATCCTCTTCAGTGTACACCTTGACTGAGCTAAGAGAATAAGACTTGCTTCAGGAGTCTGGAACTGGACATCTGGGTAATGTGGCCAACACAGTGAAGTTGATGTTGGATGATTACTGTCTCATGGTGTTTGCTTTCAAAAGGACACAAATGTTGGTGCATCTGTCTTCCCACTGGATTCGAAGGATCTTTCACAGGCAGCATTGATGATACTTCTCCAGCAACTTGAGGTGTCTCCTGTATGTTGTCTATGTCTCATCTCTGTACAGTAAAGTGGGGATCATGACTGCTTGATAAGCCATGAGTTGGTTTCAGGTCTGATGTTGTGATATTCAAACACCCATTTCCTCAGGCGTCTGAAGGCTGCACTTGCATTTTTAAGGCAATCTTGGATTTCTTCATTAATGTCAGCTTCCTGTGAGAAATGACTTCCAAGGGATGGGAAATACTCAATGTTTTCCAGTCTCACCTCAAATCTGAATTACCAGAGTTGGGGACTGCTCATTAAGAGCTTGTTTATGGACAACCTTAATCTTCAGAATGTTAAGCATCAGTCCCATTTTCTTGTATGCTTCAGTATGCCGTTCATTAGCAGAAAATACAATCTGTATTTCTGTTCCAATATAGCTTTTGACAAATACTCAGTTTGAGCAGATAACAAATGGTCAAAGTGCCTTGGCCTCTCCAGTTTTGATCTTGCATGCTCATTATGCACATCCTTAGCAATCTGACTTACTTTCCACTTCTTTGGACAATTCCTTGCTGAATTTCTGGTTGTTTGAGAACAATTTAGCCAAGTTCACCCTTTCCTTTGCATTGGGCTATTTGTACCTATGTCTGTAAATATCGTTTCTTCAAGAAATTGCCATTTCTTTTGAAGATCTTTCTTCTATAGTCTTGCTTCCTATAGAATCTTATCTACCAATTATCTACCAGAATTTAGGCCTGCTTTCTTGAAAATCATTGCCTTTATTCTACTGTTCTCCCACCTTCCCTTCCAAAGGATCATGGACTATCATTTCATAATCACTGTTAACCCAACATGCCTTCCATCTTTTTCTTGTCAACGAATATTGCCTTATTAGTGGGTGCATCTACACATGTGCATTTTATGCACAGTAACTGAAATTTCTGCATGATACAGGTGTGTGTCTACACATGCAGGCCCAAACTGCACAGTAAATATGGTGACTTATCCTCACTTGAGTGTAAATTTGATACCTGCATTGTGCAGGTATCAAATCTACACCCAATTAATTGCTGCACAGTAATGCACATGTAGATACCTTACTGCATAGTAACACTGTGTGTGTGGACTGACATGGGACTACCTTTAGTCCCATGTCAGTCCACACACAGCATTAATGCACTTTAACACCTGTATGTATAGACGCCAGCCTATTCCCGCTTTCTGCACAATAGCTTACTGAACAGTAAATTTAAAGTGACGTAAATGCACATGCAGATATGGCGAGTCACAATCAAATCTAGAAGAACCTCTCCAGTAGTTTTCTCCACCTTCTGTATCAAAAAGTTGTTCTCAACATACCTCAAACTCATAAGGCTGTCTGTCTTGCTAAGTTATTTTCCCAAGTGTCTTGAGTATTTCACATATACCATAAACATACATATACTTTTGTCTGATCCCCAGCACATCAGAGCAGATTTGATTAATGGAGTCTGCTCTGCATGGGAACTGGTGCGCCCAGTGCTGCATTGCATGCATTTGTATAAACAGCAAAATACATGTCAGTGCTGAGAAAATGGTGGCGGTGTGCTTTTGAAATAAAACACCTTTGATGTGTTTTAGTTCAAAAGTGCACTGCCACCATTTTCCCAGCTCTGACATTCATTTGCCATTTATACAAACGTGTATGCCACAGCACTGGGCACTTTTAAAAGTGCCCGGCACTGCAGTGCAAGCATGTCTACAAATGCCCCAAGTTCTGTGCTCTGGATTATTTTGTTAGTTGATTAAAAAAAAACACAACATTCATCCCCCTAATGTGTATGGAACCCAGCAGGGGAACAAGATCTGAGCATTTATGAGTCCATTCACTTTGTGCTGCAGCATACAGAAGTCCCTACATAATTTACAGTCTTTTATACCCACCCTCAGTGTTCCTGGTTACATGAAAGCAATATCTATGATGATTTTCAGTGCTTAGAGAATCTGGACAAAACCTTCTGAAGATTATCCTATCCTCATAAAAGCGTAGTTCACTAGTGAGAAAGCAAGGTAAAAAGCTTCATTATACTGATAGCAGCAGATCCTTTAAAAGGCTCCCTGGAAATAAACAGTGCTGCTAAAAGAGTGTGAAGCTAATCATGAGAACTGTGTGCAACAACCTCAGGCACTTCGGAACAAAGAAAGCACTGCAGCTCAGAGTGAGGCTGGGGAGAGGGGGTACTTGAAAAAACTGAGAATATTCACAGGAAACATAAATACAAGTACCTGACACATTCAGAGAAAATGCATGCACCAGAACTGAATATTTATAGACCAGCAGCAGCAGCAAACATTTGGAGATGCTATATTCATTGCATCCAAGCATAGACAACCCAGGCCAGAAGCCTACTACAGCTTTCCAAAAAGCAGCATTGTTCAACATAGGTGTTTCCAGCCCCAATACATTCAGGCTAAGGAAGAAGCTCCAAAAGGCACCCAGTATAAATGGAATTTAGGAAATTGTCCTGAACTCTTACAATCCACATGGTAATCTTCAGGCAGAAAGGTTTAAATCAGGAGTTATCAACCT